AGACCATCTGAATACCCTAATGATGAGTTCATTTGTTAATAGAGGAGTTTCTTTTCTGAACTTAGGCAATCAATACCATTTACCAATACATGACACTGGGTTATGGTTCAGCTGTGTCTTACAGCACAATCATGTGAAAAGTTTTTAAAAAAGGAACAGTAAAACAAACACAAAACCCATGCAATAAATTGTTCTTATGTTTTAGTTCCATGCTGTTTAACATCTACTTATTTGAAATTATCTCGATTACTGACATTTTCCTTTTTACTAGGAAACATATTGTGGAGACTCAACTTAGATGTATCTGCTAGCAGAATGCCAGGGAAAAGCACATAATGCCATATAGGGCAATACTAATAAAATCACATTTTAGGCTTGACTGACAGCATTATTATTGATTATAGAAAAAAAGCAGTTCCTGAATACATAGCCTTGTAAAATGAGTCTACTGCTACAATATCTCTAGGCCACCCGAGTGCTTGCTTTGACAGGCTCAATGTACAGGAAACGTATTGCATTGAGTTTGTTTTCTGTAAATCTCAAGAGGAAAGTAATGTCATAAGTCAGGATATAACTATTCAGAGCTTGCATCTGAAAAGCAGAAAGATTCTATAAAGTTTCTATAAATGTAGTACATAAGTTTAGTTGACCAGATAGCAATTAATGATATCGGATCATTGGATCAGAATTACCTTGTCATAAAACTTTAAAGAAGTTTGGTTATTATATAGCAGATGAATAGTAAATTTTCTAAATACTTTATAAGTAGCATTTTATCCTTACAATGTAAGATGTCTTGTATTTTGCAGTAGATAGGAATCAATAAACAACCATATAATTTCCTTCCTGCTATTTATTTATTTAGGTGATAGCTCTATATGATATACTTTTTTATAATTTAATATAGTTCCTAATCACTTTAGCTTCAGTGTAGCACAAGGATTTTTTTATATAAAAGGAAAACAAGTTTCTTCTTTGAGGAATATAGTTGTAATGAGTGAGTGACTATAAGCCTGACCTGAGCCACATCACCTCTACTGAGGAAATAAATTTGCTTAGCAGCATACCCTAAACAGTACTATGTTGGTAATGAGAGGAATCCATTTATAAACACTTTTTAGAATCAGGAAAGTGCCTTCTCCATAGCATATAATATCTCAAGATGCCATGTCATGGAAGTGGCTTACCTTGAATAATGACCTCAGGGCTTCCTCATCCATGTAGTCAAATGTTAGTGAAAAAGAAAAGAACCCACTTTCCGTCATGGAGTGAAGTGTAGAAGGAGGAACTGCTAAAGGAAGGATCACATGGAAATTTGGGATTAATCATCCTAAATTTCCTTGGGGAAGGAGGGAGGGAGGGTAGCAGAGAGACAGAGAGGAAAAGTGAGAAGGAAAGGGAGAGTGGCTGACTGATTTGTGTATATAGACATGTGTTTGTGCCCCACATCCCTACCTCAGGTGTCCTGACCTCTTTACTACCCCTTTCAAGAAGATGCATGGAACAAACCTTGTGTGATGGTACAGGGCCTTTTCTTGCTGGTCTACAGGCTTGACAGTAGAATTTCAATCCATCAATATCTTCCATGAGTGCTATTTTCTAGACAGAGGCATTATGTTCAACCCAGAATTACTCTTGATATGGTGAGAAGAGCTTAGTGACTCCCATAATACTCACTGGAATAACTGCATAGGTCTGATACTGAAATTTGGCCACTACTCAGTAAGCCCATAGACAAGATGACTATACACCATCACCAATATGGGAAGCAGTCACAATCAAATAGCACTGCATTTATGTAGCATACTACAGTTTCCAGAGCATGGCCATCAGTGTTGACTATTTACAATTACCCTTGATGTAGAAAGGACAAGACTAATTCTTTTCATTTTTAAAATAAAGAAACTAAGGGTCAGAAGTATTAGTGCCTTATCAATACTGTGAGTAGCAAACCTGAGGCTATAACCCAAGATTTAATCATTTCTAGCTGGTCCTCATCCACTATAGCCTGCTGATGCCCATCCACATTACATCAAAGTATATTCCTTAACATTTTAATTTATTTCCTTAGAGCTCAATGGTGAGCCACATAGGGCAATACTATATTAGGAAAAGATGTATCATATTAGGGAAACATGGCACAAAATAAGGAAAATGTAAGTTTTAAATGACATATATACATTATAAAATTAAAGCAGCATAACTGTTAACTATCTAGTCTCCATTTTCCAATCAATTTAAATTATTTTAATGTATGTTTTTAAACTCAAATTTAGCTGTACTCCAATGTGTAATGCCGATAATTCTTTGGGAATTGTACCCTGTCATTTACTTTTAATTTGCCTCTTTTTGCATCATGTCTCTCATCTTGGTACATGAAACTAGAATTTAGGATTATCTTCACATGTCCACTTATTTCAAAAGAGGAATTTTTCCTCTTGTCTGTTTTGTAGAATAATTTGTGTATGCCTTAAAGGCACATATCAGTTGCACCCTCAAAATTCACTTAAAATTTTTTCTTCAGAGTCTCTTAATGTAATAATTCCTTGCTGCATGCCTAAAATAACATCAAATTATAGTGAAAGTGAAGAACATAAATTTTGATCTGTGTCTCATCTGGCAGAAACTCCCTGCCACCATCTAGTTTAGAAATTCAAGGTGATGAGCAAACAGGAGGACCTGAGTACATCTGACTACACTATAGCTGTGGGGATGTCAGAATGATCCTGAGTTAATTTTCAAAGAAGAAAATCTCTCAGCATAGACATTTTCAATCAATAGCCAAGCAACCCAGAAAAGATTAATTTGAATGAAGTTATTTTCCTATGATGGCTGTATAAAAAGACATGTGTTTCAAAGAAACTGGCCTCAAACAAGACAATGTTCCTCCTTATCAGAGAAAAATAACTGGGTCTAATTGACAGTTCTAAAACATAGAGCAAAGAGGACATTTTCAAAAGCATGTCTTGGAATCAAAGCTAGGTTATGCAATGTCACTTTGATTTCTCCCTCCCCATCTTCTGCCAGTGGCATGTTCATCCTGTCACATCCAGCGTGCTTTAAGAGGAAACTACTTGAACACAGTACCCATTACTTTAGGATAACCTAAGTCTTCAAAAACAGATTTGTTTGGATTTTAAAGGATCAAAAAAAGTGGATTCATGCAATTCCACAGTGTTCACAGTGACATGCCTTTAACCCACTACCATATTATTTATTCCAAACCAGCCAGTTCTCAGTGGTTTAAAAAAGAAAGAAAGAAAGATGTGAGTGTGTGTTCCTGTGCATATTGAGAACCACTACTCTAAGAAAAAGTGATGGCTAGCATTCACTTTTCCACAGCATTTGCCTCTTCTTTTTTTTATCTGATGGGAAGTATTAGCATCTACTACATGGACTACACAGGAACAGGATTTGACAGCCTAGATATCTGTGAGAGGTGATTTGGGCCAGCCATACACTTATTTCTTGTTTTCTAATTTTCACATGTTACCTCATCCCCTACCTATCTTCTAATTCTAGCACATACCAAAATTTAAACTCAGGCACAGTGGAGTGAAAATGGTTTTTTGCCTACCAAGCTAAAGAAAGTGCCCAAACATTAATGGGTATTCATCTAGCAACAGAACTTGAGACTTACTACATGAGAAGAATTTGGATTTCTAATACTAACATATAAACTTAAGAAATGTTTCAGGTTTTTTTTGGTCTGTTTTGAATTGCTATTGAGTGCATTGAGTTGATATGCACAGAGGCATTCAGTATGCTAAATTTCACTGGTTACTCAGAATGTCAAGTCCAGTTTTAAATGCATTATATCTATATAGATATATAGAGAGTTGTCTTTTAAAGTGGTTGTCTCTGCATTCTATCAGTATTCTCTTCTTCCTTAGCCCTTCCTCACTTCCAGGATTCACAATAATAAAGGTCCTCTAATGGGTATTTTTTAAAGGGTCTGAACAGCTATGAGGTTGTCAAATTGCTTCTCCAATTCTCTTCATATTAAATGTTCTTTCTATAGCTTGAAAAAGTCTAAGAGAGTACAAGTTTGGTTCTGATTACATAATTAGGCTACAGAAATATGAAAAAAATCATCACTAAAACCCTCCAGGTGCTTAAACAGTTTGATAGACTGTAGCCATTCTGCCATCAGTGCCCCCAGCTGTGTTGCTTAGCAACATTTTAATTCCAGAAGAATCGAAGAAGATGAAATCCCTGTGGAGAGGGAAACAGAAATAAGAGGGCTGTTGACAGATGATCTGAGTTGTTTCTTCTAATATACTGTGAAGATCACTAGCTCTTTTCATGAATGATAAATGGACTGTACACAGATCAATGGGTTCAGCAATAAACTGGAACCAGGCTCCATGTCTAAGGTGACGCAGGCCGAGAGACCCAGAGATTTCCTCATTTTGAGATTTGGTGTGTGTTTTCTTAAAGGTTCCATGGGAGGAAATTGATCTCAATATTTGGTCATTCCTTGCCCTTTTGTGGTGTCTGCTAATAAAAGTGATTTTGGAAATGGACACTTGGGCAGGTATGGCTAGTTGTCAATAGTTAAGCCAGGGTGAATGGTTCCCTCCCACACAGATCTAAAAGTCCTGGGGTATGCCTGTAATCACACCTCTACACCTCTCTCCCCAAACTGCCATTAGAACCCAATCAGGCCCTCATCTCACATGGGGTAAGATTAGAGCGCAAGGTGTGCAGGGAAGGACCTAGTTGTGCACCCAAGAGCCCACTCACATGGCCCCAAGTGAACTTTGCAAGCAGACCTGACAGAGCCTGCCTGTGTTTGAAAGCTGCACTTGGACAGGTAAACACATTCTCTGGGAGAAGAAAATTGCTTTCTGTGTCTCCAGTCTGCTTATCTACAGCAGCCTGCTTCGGCTAGCTCCTTATGTTTCTGAAGAGCATTTTATGTTGCTTATTGTTCTGCATACTAGTCAAAAGATTATGACCACTAATGTTGTCTAATTGCATTTTTTTTCTGTCTACAGGCTGTTGAAAAGGCAAAACCTAAGAATAATCCTGTAAAGTAAGTTATTATTTTTATTGGTTAGAAATGTTAATTTTAATGGACTCCATACATGTGAAAAAATAAGGTCATAAAAGAGACCATGGATTTTGAGTTAATCTCTATTCATGACAATTTAAACACAAAAACAAAAGAAGCAAAAAAAAAAAAAAAAACCTCCAATAAACAGGCAACAGTTTATATTTTTCCTTGTGTCCCTGATGAGGAAATGCCCCAAGTTGTACAGAGTTTACATAAATTAATATGTGTCTTCCATGAGTAGCTGCCAAATACTATTATAATCATATTCAGTGCATACTACTTCAAGCCTTTGGGTTTTGCACATGCTAAAAAGATTACATTTTTAATTGCAAACCTTGGACCTATGACAGAGATGTAAATGGCTGAAAGTGTGCCAAGTGATCCCCAGCCACATAGGGAGGGTTGGCACCTTGGAATCAAGGCCTCAATACTCTGTTAATGAAAAGCTCATAGAAATACATTTAACTAAGGTTGGTTTGTAGCTAACAAATATTTCTAATGCACATTATGGGGTACCCTTAAATTATAAACAAGCCACACAGCACTGTTTTCAAAATATATTACAACTTATATATCCTATCTCTTCCAGAAGGGAGACTTTCAAATTAAGAAGGATTGATCAGAGTTGTATGGCTCATACAGGTCCTGTCAGCCATGAGACCAAGGAAAGACTTTCTCTAGGTTGTTATGGGTCTGATACTATCATATGTCTAGGAAGTATGTGTTAATTAATGTCAGCCAACTTCCATTAAAGCTGATATCAAATACAGAAATGGGAGTAATTGATTTTTAATAGTTTTTCAAAGAGTGTATCAGCTAATTCCAAGGACAAGAAGGCTGTGTGTTGTGTAAAAGAATTAACTTTCCAGAGCATGAGGGTAGTATTTAGCATACCACTACATCCAAGTCCTAATACATTTTTCCAAAAGGTATTGTGTAGTTTGTTTTTGAGTTTTTAAGTTTCATTTTTCTTATATCACAGTATATTCTCTGGCAGGATCTGTTGCCTCTGAAAGGGTTTCTGCAGACTGGAGATGTGTTATGTTATAATGGTCCTGTGCAAATATTTTTTAGAATATGAGTTTTCATCTGGTTGTTTGATTGGGACTGAAATCTTCTCTGCAGCCTGATTTCTTTTCTCTCTGTATGCCCTAAAGGCTGCTCCATTGTGAGCCTGTGGCTAGAGAACTCCATGGATTAGGGGATGGTACTAATGAGGCCAAGGCCAGTTCTTTAGTCCCTGAGTGGGCCATTAGTGATCCTCTTTTCCACAGTTGATTGCACCCCTCCCTTTAGTTTGCCTGTTTGTAGATGTGTGCCCCAGGTCACAAGGTACAGGGCAAGGTCTGGAAGAGTGTAAATCTGACCCTCAATAAGGCAAACATCTCCATGTTCAAGCCCTTCCAATAAGAAGTCCCAAGCTCTATATTTGCATCCACAGGAAAGCGCTTTGTCACTGTGCACAGCTGCATTACCTTGGATTCTAATGGCTTCCAAGAGGAACCTGTTTTCTATTAGCTCCTTGTGAGGATTGACCCTAAAAGTAATTATATTTTTAAGAGTTCTTATTGATTCACAGTACAGGCTACTTTCTAGCACCTTAAGGAATGTTTTAAAGAGAAGAAAAAGGAAAACTGGAAGACTAAATAGATTATGGAGCTTTATATTTTTTAAAAAATTTTATTAGTACATCATAGTTATATATAATACTGAAGTTCATTTTGACATAATCATATATGCTTGAAATATAATTCAGTCCATTTAAGTCCCCAATGCTTCTCCTCACCTCCCCCCTCTCTTCCTCTACTGATCTTCCTTCTATTTATCTATTTTTAATTGTTGATACACACACACACACATTAAGGTGGAATTCACTGTGACATTCATATATGTGCATAGCATAATTTGGTCAATTTCATTTTGGAGTTCCTCACTTTTCCCAGTCTTCCTCCCTACCCCTCTATACTCTTCTTTTCCTTTGAACTCCCTTATATTTTCATGGAATTCCCTCCCCACATATACACACTCCTTTTCCCCCTTATTTTGCTCTAGCTTCTGCTTGTGAGAGAAAACATTTGACCCTTGACTTTCTGAGTCTGGCTTATTTCACTTAGCATGATGTTCTCCAGTTCCATCCATTTACCAGAAAGTTCCATGATTTCATACTTTATGGAAGAATAGAACACCATTGGGTGTGTATGTGTGTGTGTGTGTGTGCGCGCGCGCGCGTGTGTGTGTGTGTGTGTGTGTGTGTGTGTATCACGTTTTCTTAATTCATTTATCTGTTGATGGGCACCTGGGCTTATTCTACAACTTGGCTATTGTGGATTGCACTACTACAAACATTGATGTGCTGGTATCTTTGTAGTAAGTTGATTTTAGTTCTTTTGGATAAATACCAAGGAATGGGATAGTTGAGTAATGTGGTGGGTCTATTTCTAGTCTTTAGAGCTTCCCACTTTTAAATTTACTTGAAAGGCTGCTTAGTGATGACCAACTGATAGATAATTAAAATTGTCTTATGATTAAATAATACGGCATTCTGAGTGTGAGTGTGGATATTTTGTTGCATTTGGATTCACCATACTAAACCCACTTTCCCAGCCACAGGTATATGGGAACTTTAACAAGAGAGGCCTCTTCAAGACCTCAGCTCAGGGATTAAAAACTCCAAATCATGGTTCAGTTACACTACCTGAGAGAACAGAGTCAGAGTTTTAAAAACATTTTTAACATGATGGTTCTGTTGTCATTTCTGATGCCTGCCAAAGAATTTTGTTTACTCATAGTACATTGGGACCCCCAAAGAAAATAAAGATTCAATTCATGTTTTCTGAATGAATGAACAATAAACAAACTGGACACATATCAAACAATGGTTCTTCTAGAAATCTGGCCTGGAAGCTTAATAAGGTTGGTGGTTCCAACTCTAGTAGAGTGTTGTTATCAAGTCAAAAGGACTTGTATTTTGTAACTGCCCAAGTAAATTAGTTGCTGTTATTCTTTATTCATGCTAGGCATGAAAATGTTGCTGTTGATCCTTCCACCTGCTTTGCTTTATTCAAGTGCAAGAATTTCCTTTAGGAGCATATAACAGAAAATATGAGCACTGTTGCTGGAAAGTTAAGGTCTGGTGGCATCAGTTACAGCTGATTTGATTTAGTCCTTTGGTGAAGAGTTTGGCAAATGGTTGGAAAATAATCAAAAGACAAAGAATATTTATGACATGTGAAATTTCAAATTCAGTATCTATAGAGAAACTTTTATTGGAACAGAGTCACACTTGTGTATTTCCATTTTATCTGTAGCTGCATTTGTGTTATAATGATAGAGTTGACTAGTTGCATAGCTTACAAAGCCAAACACATTTACCATCTGGCATCTTATAAAAAAGTTTGGCAACTCCTGCTGTAGATGGTCAGGTAAAGAAAGGCAGTAAGCTTTTTCATGACACGGAACTTTAAACTATCAATTTTTTTTCTCTGTGGGGCTTTTCAAACAACAAGTAGATATTTACAGAGTCCTTATTGTGTGTTCAGACTTTCTGAGACTGATATGTCACCTAATGATCATTCCAAGCTGCCCTTAAACACCCAGTGGTTGTGAGATCCATTGACAGGGCAATAATTTCTCAGAAACCAATGAACACGTATCCAGGCATTCTACTTGTTCTATGTTATGTGTAGGTGGGGAGATTGCAAAGGGCATGTGCAATTTTAAAAATATCAGACTCAGGCCAAGTAAGCTTTCTGTTGGGGTGATGGTAAATAATTCATAATATCCATTTAGTTTGTCTATTTTCTGTTTTCAGAGTTTCACTCCCCCTCCTTATTTCTCAACAATTTGTTCAATTTATTTTTAATAACTTCATGGTTGTAAGCTACCTTTGTCAACATAGAGAGACTATGGTACACATTATTTACACTCCGTATAAAGAAGAAACTAAATATAGACCTCATGCATATAAGCACATAATGTACTGGATTACATTAAAGGCTTTACCTTGAAATATTAAATATTTTATTTTATTTTATTTTTTATTGGTTGTTCACAACATTACAAAGCTCTTGACATATCATATTTTATACATTAGATTGAAGTGGGTTATGAACTCCCAATTTTACCCCAAATGCAGATTGCAGAATCACGTCGGTTACACATCCACAATTTTACATAATGCCCAATTAGTATTTTAAATATTATCTTTGAAGGTAAAATTCAAAAGTGAATGTTTTTAAGATCAGTGATCAGGACAAGAAATGCATGGTATATTAATATGTTGAAACCGTACTGGTAACAAATCTTGATTAGTAAGTTAAAACTCTGGCTCTTTAAGATGTCCAAAGGAGAGACTTTTGCTTGTATGCTAATGTTCTACAGCAGTCATTTCCAAGATTGTATTATGACAGCAAGAGCTGAGAGATGTACAGATTTCTCCTACCATATGTGACTTATCACATACATTTAAAAAAAACACATTTCTGTTATTAAGACATATGTGATAGTACACTTTTGAAAATGTGAATTGCTTTTGGCTAAAAGCCATGCACTAATAAGTTGAGTTGAATCTAACCGAGGTTGACATCTGTTACCAAAAGAGGGAGGGGGGGTAGAGAGAGAGCAGTTGTCAAGCATAAAATTCTTCCCTGCTTTTACGCTTTAACAACATTAAACAACTTTGTGGTTGTCTTTTACAAATCAGAATCAGAATCCACACAGCTTAGAAAATTACAGTTTTATTTAGGAACAAATCCATCTTATAGATATGATGGCTTCATTATTGAAAACAACAAACAACCACAAAATTTTCCTGTCCATGGTGTTTGCATATTATTTATTATATTCATCTAGTTAATGTTTATTTAAGATCTACAGTATTCTGGGAACTGTGTTGGATGCTGAGGGAATTAAAGATAAATCTGACATAGTTCTTACTCTCAAGGAGTTTAAAGTCCAGGAGGAAATATAAATTTGGATTT